TATAATTTTTTTTTTTGGAGAGGTTTTTGCTATAGGGCGCGTGTGCTCGCCAGACAGAGAGACAGAGAGACAGAAAGTGAGAAATCACCCCCCAGGGGGGATGGCCACGCCACAATCCCTTCTCCTCTGTTCTCCTCTCGGGATCTTGGGCACGCACGCACACGCGCCCGGCGTGAGTTTTAAGCCACTGGGTCCAGGACGCAAACCGCAGTCGGCTATGTGGGAGTCCAGCGACATAATCATTACGCTAACTACTGGTCCCAAAAATATTTAATATAATTTTTGAAGAGATGAAAAAGGAAAGCTGTCAGTAAATATGTTGAAAGCCTGATGGTGGTGCAGTGGTAAAATGCAGTGCACTCAGTGGCAGTTCACATGGGGAGGTTCCTGGTTCAAACTTGGAGACCTCTTAGAGTATGCAGGACATGCTTGCCCATGATGCATGGTTAGCCGAAGGTGGGGCATGGCTTGTGATATCAAGACCCTGTTGGAGGGGGAACCAGCAGTTAGCATAATGGCTATGTCGCTGGACTCCCACGTAGTCGACCGTGGTTTGCGTCCCGGACCAGGTGGCTTAAAACTCATGCCGGGCGCATGTGTTTGCATGCCCAAGATCCCAAGAGGACAATGGAAGAGAAGGGATTGTGGCGTGACCATCCCACCTGGGGGGTGATTTCTCGCTTTCTGTCTCTGTGTCTCTCTCTCTGTCTGGCAAGCGCACGCACCCTATAGTGAAAACCTCTCTAAAAAAAAAAAAAAAAAAAGACCCTGTTGGAGGGACCAGCAAATTGTGTAATGGTTACGTCACTGGACTCTCATGTAGTCGACCACAGTTCGAGAGTCCCAGACCTGGTGGCTTAAAACTTATGCCACGCACATGTGTGTGCATGCCCAAAATCCTGAGAGGAGAATGCAGAAGAAGAGATTGTGGCATGGCCATCCCCCTGGGGGATGATTAGCCACTTACTGCCTTTCTGTCTCTCTGGCAAGTGTGTGTGACCTATAGCAAAACTTTCTCTCTCTATCTCTCTCTCTTTTTTTTAAGACCCTGTTGGAGGTGCTGTCTCTCTTTTTTTCTCTCTCTTGCTCATGGAAAAATAAATAAACTTTTAAGAAATCCAAAATATTTGCATTACTTTTCTATTTTGTAATTGCTGTGCTTTATCACTTATTTGTTTTGGGAATAAAATGTTGAGTATAGGGAACTCTGGGAAGGATGAACACTTATTTGCCTTAGTAATAAAGACAAGTGTAACAGAATCACTTTTTAAATCATTCTCCTAGAAAGTGAGAAATAGATGTACTGGGAAAATCTTTTGCTCTCCTACTCCTATTCATAAATGGAGCTTTCTTAAAATAAGTGCTGGGGACACCAGCAGTTGGCATAATGGTTATGTTGTTGGACTCCTACGTAGTTGACCATGGGTTCAAGTCCCAGACCTGGTAGTTTAAACCTCATACGGGGCACATGTGTTCATGTGCCCAAGATCCTGAGAGGAGACTGGAGGAGAAGGGATTGTAATGTAGTCATCCCCCCTGGGGGTTGACATCTCACTTTCTTTCTCTCTGTCTCTTTCTCTCTAGTAACATGTGCACTACAGCAAAAATCTGTCTAAATAAGTACATAACTACAAATGTGCTGTGCCATGTGTTTCCACAGTTCACTGTGTGTGTGGTGTATGAATGTATAGACACCTGCTTGTGTAGTACCTCATCCCATGATTCTGGTCGTAAAATAGCTTTATCAGACTCTCCTTTCTGCTGCCTCTACCCCGTTTCTGAGTCTCGCCACCTTTTAAAGTACAGAGATTCAGGTTGAGAAAACAATGCTCATACATTGTAAAAATAAGGATAATATGGGCATATTTTTAACAGATCTCGTCATGTTTTCCCAGCCATGCTTTACTCCCTGAGCTGGGTTCACTGGCACACGGACTGGGCAGTTTCGATGGGGCCAGCTGCTTTGAAGAGTTCTGTGCCTGGTTTGTTAAATTGTTGTCTTGCAATTCTCAGTGATTTTTGAAGGGTCCTACATGTTCATGGGGTACCCTGCCTCTCTTCCATTCCCTACCACTTATGTAATCATTCTTACTTTTTTTTGCTTCCAGAACTTTCCTATGTATGGACACATGTTTGTGTGTCTTTATCTCTCTTTTATAACATTGATGGGGCTTGTTCTGCTCATGGTCTTTCTTTGCCTCTCCACTACTCCAAGTTCGAATTAAGCAGTCTCTGTCTCTCCGGCACGTATCTCCCCCTTCTGGTAGGCTGTCTATAGAGTTGTGGGATGATTTTCCTAATTCTGGTTATGCCACTCCTCTGTTAGAATGGACAGTGCTTCCCTTTCTCATACGAACCAAATCAGCCTCCTGATAAATCCCATGCTGTACGCCATTGCCGGGGTGGTGGCAAATTCAAGTTCGGAGTAGTACGCAGGTGCCCTCTGGACAAGGTGAGTCATGTCCCCTTGCCACAATGCAGCCAGCTAGCTGTTCTCTGTTGCTTTCACCTGGTCTGGACATGGGCCTTCTTTTTCAGACTTTGCAATACCCTCTCACTAACAAGTAGGAAAAAATGATCTCCTCTTTCTTCCCGTGTGTGTTCATGTTTTTTATTTTGTTTTTCTCCCTATTACTTTGCAGTGTGGCTAATAATCATCTCTGAAGTGAGTGAAAGCAGTGGACGAACTGAATGTTTGTCACCTCTGAATTCCTATATTGAAACCATAGTTCCTAATGTGATGGTATTAGGAGGTGTGGCCTTTGGGAGGTAATTATGTTTAGATGAGGTCATAAGGGTAGAGTCCCCATGATGAGATTACTGTCCTTATATGAAGAGGAAGAGAGCAGAGCCCTTCCTCTCTCTGTGCCATGTAGGACACAGCAAGATGTCAGCCAGTGGAAGCCAGAAAAGATGGCCCTCACCAGAATCTGATCATATCAGCACCTCGATTTCAGAGTTCCCAGACTCAAGGACTGTGAGACATAAATGCCTGCTATGTAAGGAGTTTTTCTATAGCAGTAGACAGTTGGGGCCTTTAGCTTTCTATAAAGTTCATTAATCTGCAGCAGAGGGTTATAGAAGAAATGCCACTTATTCTTTCATATGAAATGCGAGCCTGAGAAACAGTATGTGTCCTATCCAAAGCCACAGAATTTAGGGATGAACTTAAATGGATTCTACTGCTTCTCAGGCCAATAGATTGTGAAATTTTTTAGGATTTTCCTGAACACTTGAAATTCTGAGGTCAGAATGACATCCTGATTCTAGAGAAATCCAACTGTCGTGCTAGCATCTATAGTCGTTGTGCCCAGTGTAGCATTTCTAAGCTGGACTGTCCAAATTGGTGGTTAAAAATGCCTAAGTACTGGGGCCAGCAGGTGGCATAGTGGTTACATCACTGGACTCCTACATGTCTGACCATGGTTCGAGTCCCAGTGGCTTGAAACTCACACCAGGTCTATGTGTGTGTGTGTGTGTGTGTGTGTGCTCAAGATCCCAGGAGGAGAATGGAGGAGAAGTGATTATAGCATGGCCACACACCCCCAATGGGTGGTGATTTGTCACTCTCCCTCTTACTATCTCTGACTCTCTCTCCCTGGCGAATGCACATACCCTAAGATAAAAACTTCTAAAAGAGAAGAAAATGCCCAAGTATTATTAGTAGTGACTCACATACATATATGATCCCTGGAAAATTATTCAGGCTGTCTTAGTTTCAATTATTCTTCAGTAGGAAATAGATATAACTATGTCTACCTCACAGAATGGTGATCAGAAACAAATACAATTTTAATTTATTTATTTAATAAACAAATATTTATTAAGTGACTACTCTACCAAAAATTGTGCTCAGCAGTGAAATCATAGCAATGACTCAAAGACTTCTGCTGTCCCAATAACCTTACGGTCTGGTGGGATTTAAGGTGTAAGGAAGTGACAGCACAGTTCCTAGCACAGAATTGATGTTCAGTTAATAATACTGACAACAACATAACTATTGGAATGACTGTTTTCTTCTTTTCCCTTTTTAAAAATTAGCTAACATAGATGCTTTTCTCCAGATATATTCTCAATTACAGAAATGAAGGCATTTATATTAAAATCACCATGAAGATATCCATCTTGCTGCCTGCCCCAAATGCCCTGTCATTCATTTTTCTTAAACCAGTTGCTGGTAGAAAATTTGGCGTACATCCTGCCCAGAGTTTTCTCCTTCATAAATGTAGTAGAGCTTCCTAAAGATCAATTTTTAAATTGGTTATGCTAATGTGTGAGTGCTTACAAACAATCTGTAAGGAAATACCTGTTTTGAAAATCTGGTTAAGGATTACTTACTTGATGTTAACTCAGTTTATGTGCCCATTTCGCGTGTCCGAGAGTTGTGCCAGACTCTACCTAGTCAGAGCATGCCTAGCAAGAAGACACTGCATGTCCAAGAAATCAGCTTAGAAGCCTCACTAAAGGAAAGACCAGCCTAGTGAGGTCCGCGTGAGACCTGCCCAGGAATGTGAAAGAAGATCAGCAAGGTTAGTGCGAAAAACAATGGCCATGCACTTGGTAAGCTCTAGAAGTGAGTTTCGCATGCAGGAACATTTGACTTCTTAGGCTGAGCTACAGATGTCTGTTTTAACAGCAGTGCCTGCCAGAGCTGTAGTTGACAAGGCCAGCTGCTCTGAACTGCCAATTGTTAGTTGACGTGGCAACTGCCTACCGATTTGTGCTGAGAAGACAGCATGGAATTGGGTCAGCACAGGACATGCCTTTAATATCCTCCATCTGTCCAATAGACTTATTTGGAAAACATTAAACATTTCAAGCAAGAATTGTTAAGGCTCTTCTATGATAATATCTACACATGATTCGGAAAGCCAGTTGCATTCCATTAATTATCCCCTGCAGAGTAAGAGCAGGAATTGGTCTAGTAGATACAGCCGTATGACCTTCAGTGTAGCAGGTGGCATAAGTTACAGGCTCCGTCCACTGGATTCAGAGCTTACCTTTCTTCCTTCCAGGCACTGCTGGAGTTGAGGCTTACTTAAGACACCATATTGGCAATTGTGGGGCTGCCAAGTTATTTCTCTCCAGTCACAGGTCCTGTTGTCTGAACAACTCAGGCAAGGTACAATCCACTGGCCTGGAACAGATGGCAAAACTTCCTTTGGTTAAGTTTTTACAGGTGAAACTATGGTTCGCAATAACTTTAGAATTCAGCTATGGCACATGGAACACCATTACAGAAATGACAGTAAGAAGACAATTCTTATCATGTAAGTCCAGTGAAGTCATGCATGGCCTCTTGTCAACCAAATAGAATGTCAACCTGTAGTAATGTTCTGAAATAATGCAGTTCACACTAAAATCGAGTATGAACTCTGGTCTGTGAAATGACCAGGTACTTGTAGGAAAACAAAACAACAGGAACAAACACACAAAAATACAACTTATTAGATAATCATTACTTATGTGAACAGCACATTAAGCACTTCAGTAGGATCAAAGTATATTAGGAACTCCTGAAATTTGCAGTTGGCTTCAAAAATGTATTAGCTTAACACATGTTTAGGTTCCCAATCTAATAATAGATTTTAGATATTTCTCTCAAGAAATTTAAGGTATAAGAGAACTACTTCAGCATTCTGATCATTCATTATTTTGAAGACTAGTTACTGTTCCTTAATTTGATTGATAGTCTGTTTGGTGTGAATCTTTTTGCCTATTTCATTTTTTTAAAGTTTACTCATTTTATTTCTTTTGTAAGCAAGACAGAGAGAAAGAGAGAAACAGTGCCCCAGCAGAGTCTTCCTGACATGATCTACCTCCAGCCTCAGTCATCTCTGGATGATGGGCACATAAATGTCTGGCATACTCAGGGAGGTTTCCAGATGTGAACTCAGAACCTTTCTTGTGGGTTAACCTGAGTGTTACATACAGCCTCTTTTACTGCTGCACCACGCTCTGGCTCCACCTTCACCTAGTTTCAGCTGGGTGATCTTAATTTCTTTATGTTAGTTGAGGTGTGTAATGTTCTCCTCAAATGATTGATGGGAGGATGTAGTGAATAATGTTTTTAAAGGACCTAACACAATTGCAATATTATCTTTACCTTTTTCTACTAACAGAGTTCAGGTGCAAAGTAGGTCACAGGTGTTACAATGTGTTCATTAAGTAAATGAATATTCTCTACATTTAAGATATTTCCTATTTATTAACAAAAGAATAAGTATTCAAAAACACTTCAGCTTTTTTTTTTTTTTTTGGAGAGGTTTTTGTTATATGGTGCATGCGCTCGCCAGAGAGACAGACAGAGACAGAGAGACAGAAAGTAAAATATCACCCCCGAGGGGGGATGGCCACAATCCCTTCTCCTCCATTCTCCTCTCGGGAACTTGGGCATGCACGCACATGTGCCCGTCATCAGTTTAAGTCACTGGGTCCAGGACTAGAACTGCAGTCAACTACATGGGAGTCCAGTGACATAGCCATTACACTAACTGCTGGTCCCCAAACACTTCAGCTTTTGATGTGAGTGGATATGATAACAATTTATTTGAAAAACATCAAGACATAACTTTTTTTTTTTTTATTCCATGTTCATCCTTTCAGAAATGGAGTGCGAACATAGCATATTATATAAGTGCATGTGAAATGGTTATTTCTCGCCTTGGTGGAAAATACAATAGTCTCGGACAATTGACTTCTTTACCGTAAAGATCTTGCTTATGTTACCAGTCTATTTTTTCTTCATATTATTGAGGAGTTAAATATTCCATGCTTAAAATATTTGTGTTACCTAGAGCAAAAATTTAAAACTTTGTCTTTTTTGGCTCTGATTTGTAATGATGTTAAGAAAAGTATCTGGTGTGACATGAATTTTAGCAGAAAGAATTTCTAGTTTCAGAGGATGAATACATTGAGTTTTACATCCACGACCTTAGGGATGTCACTACTGTGCATATGATATTTGTATGTGTAGAAATAGTTACAAATAATAAGACATGGAAGAGGGCCAGTAGATGGCACAGTGGTTACATCACTGAACTTCCAAATGTTCAACCCAGTGGCTTCAAAATCACACCAGATGTGCGTGCGTGCATGCCCAAGTTCTTGGGAGAAGAATGGAGGAGAAGGGATTATGGCATGGCCATCCTTCCTGGGGTGATTTCTCATTTTACCTCTCACTGTTTGTCTTTGTTTTTCTCCATGGAGTGCATGCACCCTAAGACAAAAATCTACAAAAAATAAAGACATGGAAGAAAATATAGTTTATGGCTCGTACTGATTGACCATGGAAAGAGAGAAAAGCATGGGTATATTCAGGAAAAGAAACGGGGAGAGATCAAAGAAAATAAGAGAAAGACAAAATTATGAATTTCAGGGAGGGAAAAGTGGACAACAGAATCATTTTAGGGGATACAGTATTGACTCGTGCAGAAATACAAACAATTCAAAAGTAATTGGATCCCTTGTTCCTCTTAATCAGAAAATTTTTTCTTCCTTTGATTTTTAAATGTAATGAGAATTCTAGGAAACTGCTCTATTCAATGCCCACACTCTAAGTACTTTCTACATAATTTCAGAAACCGTGAATGATTCTGAGTTTCTCCACATACATATCACTCTCTAGGAGGATTTTTATTTAGTACATTAAGTATTTACCATATTGAGGTGTTAGGAACTATTGGTATTAAAATATTATAATAATTTCTTAAGCAGGTAACATTTTTTTTTTTTGAGAGATTTTTGCTATAGGGCGTGTGCGCTCGCCAGACAGACAGAGAGAGACATAGAGACAGAAAGCGAGAAATCACCCCCCAGGGGGGATGGTCACGCCTCAATCCCTTCTCCTCCATTCTTCTCTCGGGATCTTGGGCACGCACGCACACGCGCCCAGCGTGAGTTTTAAGCCACTGGGTCCAGGACGCGAACCGCGGTCAACTATGTGGGAGTCCAGCGACATAGCCATTACGCTAACTGCTGGTTCCCAAGCAGGTAACATTTTCATAGCACCTCCCACATGCTAAGTGCTCTTAGTTAAACTTTGTAACAGCCCTATTATCTCCTTTACTCAAAAAGGTTCAATAACTTGTCTACTGTATTCCAGCAAGGAGGCGACAGACCAGATTTAAGCTGGGCTGTCTGCTCCACAGTCTGTGTTCCCAACTATAATGCTAAACCTCAAAAATTTATAATCGGGTAGAGGGTTATAATTTGCACATGTAAAATCATTATAGCATAATAATAGGGAGTGCGTAATTAAGTAAAAATACCTTTGTGCTAGTGAAAATGCCAGACTTTGGAGGCATACACATACCTGCGCTCTGCCTCTAGCTGGCCCCATAGACCTCAACATTGACCGCATAGTAAAGTCACCTGGGAAACTTTAAAATCCACATATCAGGTTGTGCCCCAGACTGATTAAATTGGAACCCATCGGTAGGGGACTCAGGCATCAGTGTTTAACGCTTTTCAGGTGACTCCATAGGTAGCCAAGGTTGAACCCCACTGTTTAAATTGGACAAATTACTTAATCTTTTTATAATTACATTTACTTCATGGTAAAGAAAATACGTATGGCACCTGCCATAGTGCCTAATCTCTGGAAGTTGATGAATATATTTTACTCCTTCATCTCTATCCTAAATGAACCACGTTAGTTCAGAATCAAGAATCACAGGACCAGCAGTTAGCATAATGGCTATGTTGCTGGACTCCCACGTAGTCAACCGTGGTTCGTGTCCAGACCTGGTGGCTTAAAACTCAGGCCGGGCATGTGTGCCTGCGTGCCCAAGATACCAAGAGGAGAATGGAGGAGAAGGGACTTCGGCGTGGCCATCCCCCCTGGGGGGTGATTTCTCGCTTTCTGTCTCTCTGACTCTGTCTGGCGAGCACACACGCCCTATAGCAAAAACCTCTAAAAAAAAGAATCATGAAGGTTGGAGTTTTCTGGAAGGTTCCATGCCACAGATAAATTGTGAGCAGGTCTTTATGGTTGAATAATATTTGGAGACATGGAACAGGTGGTACTTCAGGGGCTGTGAAGAGATTAGCCTGATAGGAGTAAGACTGAAGAATTGACTGACTCAACCACAGACTGTATGTTAGAGACAAAGGAGGTCTGTGAGGTAAGATGATTAATTTTCTTTCCAATAGGATGGAGGTATGATTGGGGCATAAATATTTTTCTGCTAATGAGGTTATTTTAATAATCTCATTTTTAAAAATTGCCAGTGGGTGCATCTCTCAGAGAGAGACTGAGAGACAGGGGCAGTGGGGTGGAAGAGGCACCCCTCTGATAGAGCATGGTCACATTGAAATCCCTTCCTTGTTTCTTTGGGGCATACACAACACACACACCCACACACCCACACACACATACACATCCAGCTTTTTTTTTTTTTTTTTTTTTTTTTTTACTATATGGCATGTGGACTCCCCAGAAAAACAGAGAGAGACAGAAAGTGAGAAATCACCCCCTATGGCCATGCCATAATCCCTTCTCCTCAATTCTCCTCTTGGGATCTAGGACACACACACACACATGCCTGGTGTGAGTTTAAGTCACTGGATCAGGGACTCGAACTGTGATCTACTATATGGGAGTCCAGTGACACAGCCATTAAGCCAACTGCTGGTCCCACACAGCCAGCATATTTTTGAACTGATGAGGCTGAGATTTGAAACAGGGTTGGCCATGTGGGATCTGGCTCCCTTAAACACTAGCTTATAGGGCCAGCCCTACATTAATCATTTTACAAAGCATCATTTTTTCATCAGGTCCCCAGATATCTAATGCACATGCATCCCACCTCTACTCTGGGTGCTCTCTGCTCCCCAATTTTGCTGATAAGGTTTGCACAAACTGAGGCCCTCCTTGGTCGCTTGCTGCTAAGAAAGAAAATAACCAATTGTTTGCACAAGGATTCAGATATGGGTGCAAATCAATTTTGTGAGCATAAAATCACATGCACATAAAAAGGAGATCTGATTGGATCTCTAAAAACTTGGCCACAATCATTAAGACTACTATATATTTTTATAGTCGTAATCTTTTGTATCTTTGTATTGGTTAGCAATGTCTTTTATTTATTGTGAGTTAGTAATACTGCTCAAAATAGGCATCTGTGTAACATCTGCAAAACTGGTGTTCCTGACATTTTAAGTGATACCAGCTCTTAAAAAGAGGGACATAAATTCTGTGTGATATATTTAAACACTGAATGAATCAAAGCTGTGATTTCTGAAATAAAGTATGACATATGTTTCAGGGAATAACATTCTGAGGACTAAAACTGCCTTTTGTGAGAAGTTATTTGATTTATAATTATAGTTTTATATTTAATGCAAGCTAGGATTCACTAGAGTGAATCAGATTGGGTGATAGAATGAAAAAAAAAAGTTAAACTCTGTGATTTAGGGACAGGGTGAAATATAAAATCATGTAAATGTTGGAACCAATTCTTGGCTCTATAATGTTGTGAAATAAAGCAGTTTTTATTTCAAAGAAAAATATGTCTATGTTTTCAATATTAAGTGTTAAGGTGTAAGTTGTCTTACTTCCCTGCTGAAAAAGGAAGTATGATAAAGTCTTTTGTTTACATATTATAAAATGCAATCTGAACTATTTTCCTTAAACTTAATTCTCATTCAAGGAGCACTTTATGGATTCCTTCTTCTTCCAAATTAAAAGAATTATTTTTTTCTCTTTTAAGCGAGACTTAATTCTTGGGTTATGTCTTATGATTCAGTTATTTCATAAAGGATAGAAATCAACATAAGACTAAAAATATAGCCATTCAAAAGTATAACTGGTGTTATTGAAAATGACATTTTGACACTATTACATCAGCAAAGTGAAAAAAAAGATTTAGTTTTTCAAAGTAGTTATAATGTGCTGCTAAAATAAGATTTTAAAGCCAGCTTACACTTGGCCATATGAGCTAAGCCTAGGGCTCCTAAGTAAACTTCCTTTCCAGGTTGTCTCCCATTTCTTTCATTAGGAGGGAATCCTGCTATTAAGGAAGGAAATCATCTCTAGCAGCAAAGAATGTGTTTCTGTAAATGGTTGTCCTGACCTCACTCATTAACTTCAGGTCTTTAGGGACTCCCAGGGTTAGCAGTTAGTCCTCATGATTGTGCCCCGGCTGCTCACACTCTTTATGGAAGGGAGGGGGGTCTGGATCTTGGTTTTAGTTCAGCAGCTATTTTTCAATTATCGATAGGTACTGGAAAATGAATAAGGGACAATCTCTGTTCTGGAGAAATGTATAATCGATGGAAACATCAGTAAAAAATGAATTGCTTATGCACCCTTGATGTACAAATACGTGCATGCTGTAATAAATATACAGATGTTTCTGCATTATATATTGTGTCCATTATAGAGCACACATACAAATTGTTAGCTAAAAAAGTAAGTGCACATATATTATAAGCTTTACTGGCTTCACATCTATGGTTTGCCTGAGCTACTCCCTGCTCTTCCTGGGTGTGCCATTCCACCTTGGAGAGGGATAGAGATGTATGTAAATAAGAACTTGGAACATGTGGTCTGTACTGTGGTAGAAATGTGCCCCGAAGCTCTGGGAACATAGGGAAGCTATCCTGGGAATGGGTGGAGAAGATAGTCTTGTTGGGGAGAAAGATACAAATTCAGGAGAAGTTAGGCAAGGGCTGGAAGAGAGCAAGTAGGCATGGGGAACAGTATGAACGAAAACCTGGAGTCCTAAAGCAGCACTATCAGCGTAAAGTGAGGCGAAGAGACTGGAGGAGGTGGGGAAGATAAGAAAGGGCCAGATTATGGAGGCCTTGGAATGTCAAGCTGAGGAGCATGGACTTGATTTGGAAGTCATTGCGGGGGATTTCTTTAGAAGTACCTAACTTCTCAGTACCAGAAGGCTATTGCTCTATGCAGCCAGTCCTCCAAGGTCTGGTCACAGAGGCAGCTTCATAACAGAGCCTGACATAAGTTACAGCACAGGTAATGGTCAGAGCAAGCCGCTGCATCACGAAGAATCTTAGTATTTTTAACATTTTGTTGAAGAACTTTTGACTTGGTGCAGTAGGAGGAAGAGAATTAAGGTGTTTTATGACTCCCATAAATTGTCATCTGATAAAAATTTCAGGGCACATCGGTGTCTGCTTTGTATGTAAGAGTATGTATCTCATTTAGCAGGAATCGCAAATCACACCACCTGACACACCGTAATGGGTAAATCCTTGCCTATGCACTGACTGCAGCTTATTATTTGGAACATATGTTCAAGAACGGGGACATGCCCACGTTTGTTAGCTGTGCGTACCAAATTGCAATTTGTCCTGCCCATTTGGGAAACTCATTTCCCATTCAAGCTGTGGTGTGAAGTTCATGGCAAGGGTAGAAAAGCTCCTGATGTTTTCTGACTTTTTAGTCAAAGGGAGACCTGGGGTCAGGAGGATGGAGCAGTGACCAGCAAGCTTAGAGAAGATACTCGCTCTCTCCTAATCACGTTGGAGCCATTTTTAGTACCCGCTTTGGCTCGAGCCTACTCTTTTCACTGAAAGAAAATTACTGGGAAAGGAAAGAACCAGGAAACAAGGAGAGTGACACCAGGTCTACCCAGAGCTTCAGCAGG